AGAACACACAACACACAACACAACACGAACGCTCAATGTCATAGTCACTCCTTTTTTTTGAAACACAACTTGAAGCAACTACATACCATAATATCTACAGCCTGACGCTGCTTCCCAAAAGGCCGCTGATAGCAACCCAATCACTAAATCGACAGCTATGTCGCTCGATAAAGATCTCGCCCGCCTTCGGAGGTCAAAATACACCCCCGAGGCAGCCGCAGAAGTATCCTCATGGATTGAGTCGATACTTGGCGAGAAGCTTCCCCGCGGGGAGCTGATGGATGTTCTAAAAGATGGAACAATCCTCTGCAAGTACGTCAGCCTGCAGCATCACTCCGTATGCCCTCTAACAAATGATAGAATCGTCAACAAACTCGGCGAAAAGCCCCTCCGGTTCAAATCCTCCGCCATGCCATTTGTCCAAATGGAAAACATCGCCTCCTTTCTAAACGCCATTACGAACCCTCCTGTATCCTTAGCACCACACGACCGATTCCTAACTGTCGATTTATTCGAAAAGAAAGATCCCGCACAAGTTCTACAATGTCTCTCTTCATTTTCCCGAGTTGCGCATAACCTAAACCCTTCCGCATTCCCTGACACCGTCGGTGGTTTGAAAGCTGCCGTTCCAGCTCCTCCGGTCCCAGCTGGAGAGAAGAAAACACTCGCGAAACCTACCGTTTCTACGTGGTCAAATAAGGATGAACAGGGGAAAACTGCACCCGCTTGGAACGTTGCGCAATACGGATATATGGGTGGAGCTTCGCAGGGGAATCAGGGGGTTATGTTTGGTGGTAGAAGGCAGATTACTACTGCTGCTCCGCTGCTGATTCCTAATAAGGAGGAGGAGGTGAAGAAGAAATCAACGGATCCTACACCGGTGTCCGCGCGCACACCGGCGGAGGAAAAAAAAGACGCGGGCCTTGAGAGAAGAAAGAGAGAGGAGGAGGCGGAGCAGAAGAGGATGGAAGCTGAGAAGAAGAGGGAGGATGAACTGATGAAGCAATACCGTGAGGATTTTGCTAAGAAGCAGAGAGAGGAGAGAGATCTCAAGGCCCGAGAAGAGTTGGAGAGGAAGGAGAAGGAGGAAGAGGTTAGGAAACAGCGCGAGGAAGATGCACGACTTCAAAGGGAGGAGGATGCAAAGAAACAGAGAGAAGAGGATGCGAAGAGACGTCGTGAGGAGGAGTTTCGAAAAATCCGTGAAGAGGAAATGAAGAAGCTACGTGAGGAAGATGAGCGGAAGCAGCGTGAAGAAGAGCTACGACTGCAACGTGAGGAAGAGCAACGATTGAAACGCGAAGCGGAAGAGCGGCGAAAGAAGGAGGAGGCAGAGCGACTAAAGAAAGAGGGGGAGGAGCGAAGAAAGAAGGAAGAGGAAGAACGTATTCGTCTCGCAGTTCAACGCAAAATCGAGGATGAAGAACGTATCCGTCTCGAAGTCCAGCGCAAAATCGAGGATGAAAAACGCAGGGAACGAGAACGTGAACTCGAAGAGGCACTAAAACGTGAACAGGAGGCACAGAAGCAAGCACAAGCCCTCCTCCTCATGAGAGAACGCGAACTTGAAGTCGAAGCCCAGCTCAAAGAAGACGCCCTCCGCAAAGCTGCTGCAATCCGGGAACTCAAGGAAGCCGAGGTAGCCCGCCACAAGGAACAAGAACTCCAACGCCAAATAGACGACGAGATCCAACTCCAGCATGAACTCGAACTCCAACGCAAACACGATGCCGAGATGGAAGCTGAAAAGCGCCGCTGGGCTGAGGAGGCGGAAGAGAAGAGAAACACCTGGCAACGTCAACAACAAAAGGGACTTCGTGAGGTCGAGGCGGAACTCCATCGGCAAAAGGCTCGAGTTCGTGAGCTCGAGCATGAACTCGACAAGGCACGGGAACGCGAGCGCCACTTGATCGCCAGCTTTGAAGGCGACCGGCGTTTAAAGACCGAACGGATGCGTGTGGAGTCCGCCGAACTCATGTCCACTCGCTCACCACTTAAACCCCAGCGAACTGGAGAAAACAGATACCCTGCATCCGTTCCTACCTCTCGGATGGCCAGTCCTCGTTCTGCTTCCGGCGGACGTGACTCGGCGGAACTCGAGGAGGAAAGAAAATACTTACAGCGTGAGTGGGCTCGGGAATCAATTGCAACTCCGCCTATGACCGAACCCACGGACTCACGACCACCGAGCACAACGCCCCGTGCACTTCCCACCCCACCCCCTCGTAACCTCCCCGTTCCAACTGTTCGCCACCAAAGCTCATGGGAGAAAGGAGACGACGAAAAGCTAAACAAGGATGACTACTCGCCCTCAGGCAATGATAAACTGAGTTGGAGCAAGTGAGTTTGACCGTTTTTAATTTATTTCAACCTTCGGAGGATATATATACTGGATGAACAGCAAACTGATGATGTGTGTGTGTGAGTAGCATGTCCTTCCTTGAGCGTGAACGGGAAAAGGAGCGCCAACGACAAAAGGAGTGGGAACGAAGCCAAATGGAGACTCAGAAACTCGCGACGTCTGCCACGAAAAAGGGGGAGGAACCGGCATATGGGTATGCTGATGATATTCTTGACTTGTATTGATTTTATTGCCTTCAGTTTTGCCCCATTTTTTCTCTTCTGCTGGATACACGGTTTTGGATTTTAACCCCCTGGATACCCTGGGCTTTTTTTATTGTTTTATTCTCCTTCTGCTCGGTGCCGCCTCAGCAAAGCCTGATAAGGCTTGACAACGTCCGGCAGGCTTGGCAGCCTGGTGAGCCCGACGAAAGTCCGTGCTCCCGGTGAACCCCAGCGAGCTTTTCTCCCCCTTCACGTCATAGATTTCAAGATTTCACATCCTGCATAGGCCAGCCGGAACGGACTGCTGGCACATACCCTCTAGATCTCATTTCTTCATCTCCTTCTTTTTCTCTTTTTCATAGATAATTCCCTGTTTATAGACGGCGCGTGGTGGGATATGCATCATAAATGGCACATTAAAGATTTCGGGACGCAGCATTTCAGTTTTTCTTATTTCCTCATTTTCCTATCTTTCTTCTTTTTTCCTTTTTTTGCTTCTTTTGGTTTATTTAACATTTACCTTAAGCGGCGTTTCGTTTTGGCTTTTGTTTTCGTTTTGGCTTAACTGAACCCTATTGTTTTTTTATGGCATGTGGATTAGAGAGCTGACAAAGCTGGACCAAAAAATAAAGATATCAATCAAACACAACCACTCCTACATCACGTTACGGCTCCAGGACAACATCCTATGGCTCAACGACATCTTCTGTTTCCTCCGGTGTCCCTTCGCTTACCTATGGATCCTCTGGTTTACGAAACGTTTCCTACGGCTCTGCTACCTCTGTTGCATCCTCCTCAATCCCGCCCCCCGTGCCCGCTCATAGGACTACTCCTTCCAATTCATCTCTCCCGAGATCTCCTGCTCCTCAGGTTCGCGCTCCTTCTCCTGGGGTACGCACCTTTTCTAGCTCGACGCCCAAAGTACCGATCCCATTTAAAGTAGCCCCAAAACCACCAGCGATGGTTCCGGAGGCGAGATTGGAGAGACTTACGGAGAAGAGAAGTACGGCTAGTATTAGGGAACAGTATTTGAAGGTGGGTGAACCCAGGGTTAGGTTGGAGGTTAAGGAGACTGTGCCCACTGGCCAGGGAATGGGGGAGGGGAGGGGTATGCCCGGGGGGTGGTAATTGTAGTGAGAAATGGACGAGAGTGATGAGGTGAGTGGAGGAGAGGTGAGTGGGCTTTGCTAATGGTGTGAATGGATGGAAGGATGGAATAAAACGACCGGGGGGAGGGGAGAGAAAAAACAACAGTTGGGATTAATGATGAAAAGAAAGCGGGGTTATACATAAAAGCGGAAGTTATTTATTGGTTACTTTATTATTAGGTTTTTGTACATGGTTTTTTTGGTGAGTAGTGATGAGGAATTATCGATATCATTAAGTTATTGTTTAGTCATTACTAGGTAGCTGTTGTGCGGTTGTGGTGGGGAATGGGGAATGATTCATTGGTTGTCACTCATGAAGTTCTCCCAGTTCACCACTGGCATTCACGACGAGATTCTCATTTGACACTACTTCATGCACCCCACGTATGATGGAATCACTCCTTGTACAGGCCTTAATTACAACGACAAATCGGCTATGACGTACGAAGTTCACACCGTTCATTTCGCAGCACCCCAAAGTACTCGAGAAATCATGTCAGCTTGTCATGTGATTGTCAAGCTCAAAAGTGCCGTTTGACTTCTCTTCTCTACCGGTTTTAAAAACCCGGTCGACATGAGCTTCACTGACGTTTCAGTAAACTTCACGTATGGTTGTGCACTTCTACCCTGAGCCTTCGGACACCCGAGGGTACCTTCTGGAGGCAGTGAGGCACCATCACGAATGATAGGTTAGTCTAGCACGGCTACAGCGAACCCGTGGGCTACGCGCACCCTGTAAATTCCATAGCCGTTCTAGACTAACAAGTATCTGGATACTTAGATACAAGTTTTCCGACTGCTCCTCTAGAGTCCTACAACTTACCTATCTCAACAAGTGTTTCAGCAGAATTACGTTATGTTAACTTCACCATCACATTAGCTATCTAGTAGATAATCTTTCTGTCAAATCTTAACATAACATGTACTCTAGATTTGTGGAAGATGGTAGTGTGCACGGATGGGTCCTCAGTGGGTACGGACCGTGCGGTGAGTCACTGCCGTGATGCTGCTTGGTGGAGTATGGCTCCGACTATGCGAAGGATTCAGAAACGTGGCATTGAAATCCGCAATACATGAATGATGAAAATTGAGTCTATGTATATCATACCTCCATAAAAAGTTCATCCCCAGCGTTGGTGGTATCTACAGCGAACCGATGTTGATGCATCTAGTGATCCCTGCAAACAGCCGTCACCCCATGCACAAACGCCAAGCCTTACCTCATCTCATCAACGCATCACAGGTGAATGCATCAACAAAACGCATCGCAACACAACAAAAAAAGAGGGCCCAAACCCGGGTTTGAACCGGGGACCTCCCACATATCAGAGTTACTCAGTAACTGGGTTAAACCCGAAGCGAGAATCATACCACTAGACCATTTGGGCTGTTTGATATATATTAGAGGTAATACAATTATACATATGGCATAAAAAGTTTAGTAGTATAAGTGTAGTCTTATACTGGTAGAGGCCAGAGTTTGGGACTTTATGAAAGAAGTAATCGCACGGATATATAGAGGAAGTTATGCATAAAAGAGGTTATATTGGTATAAGTATTAAGAGAAGTTATAAAAGAATTTACATTGGTATAGGTATAGCAAGATGACAGAGAGACCCCAGGTGGCCATGGTTCGTTGATGTATAAAATTAGGTAGAGGGAATCAAATGAAAGAAAGTGTACTGATATAAGTACAGCAAAATACCAGGAGAGGCCAGAGGTGGGGGATGGATGATATATAAAAGAAGTAATATTGCAATAAGTATAGTCTGATACTAGTACAGGCCAGAGGTGGGGATGGATAATATATAAAAGAAGTAATATTGCAATACGTATGGCACATGGATGCATTATGATGTTTATATTGCAATACGTACAGCTAAATAACAGGAGAGGCCAGAGGCGGGGGATTATGTATAAAGACAAAAGAAGGACGATGTCGTGACGATGCTAAAAAAGAGATCCATCGACGTTGGAAGCGCGTCTTTTATAGCCGCGTCTTCGATTCAAGGGTCGAGAAGACGTCGGTTCGACTCGACGTCAGGTTCGACGTCGTCTCCAAGGATTCTCACTCGTTCCCTGGGTCAGAGCTCATCACTCGGCCCCAGGGTAGGATTCGCTGCGTCCTATTAGCCCACGGCGACTAGGAGTGGTAAGACGACACGCCGGACTTGTAGTGAGTAATAGAGCCGTCTTTCTTTTGTTATTCCATTTGTTCGTAGGAGTTATTTGATTGTATGTATTGGGGTTCTTGAACGGCTTCGCATCATGTTACGGGGTGAATCGTAATGACTACGCTGTGATTGTTATTCCTCAGTCATCAGGCTGCTACATAGATATTTCAATGCAGCTGCACTACGATGTAGATATTACTGTACCGGGCGTTACAGTTAGGACGGTCAGTTGAGCTGACGCGGGGCAAATGCTAGGACCGCCCTGCCTGATGTGTCCAAAAAAAAACCCTCCAACAGGCAACATTGAGGACAGTCAGCAGCTGACCAGAACGTAATTTAAGACGGTAGAGTGTACAATTTGGTCCCCCCAATTTGCGTTCGAGAAAAGAAGCTGTGATTGTTACACACAAGGGCTGTAAAAATCAAGATGACAAACGTTCTTCATAATTATCACTCGCTATTGACTCCGGGTTGACTTTAAGACGGGCCAAAACTGTCGGGGTTGAGTTAGGACGGGGGGTGCTGACAGTTGACGTCCTAACTGTAATGCCCGGTACAGTATTGGCCGTATTTATGCGGCTCACCAGGAGTCAATGGAATACTTCCCGTAGACTCTGGAGGGCCTCCAGACGAGTTTTGGGAACCCAGATTCTGGGAAAAAGGGCATCTGGGAATCTTAGGTCTAGGAATCTGAAACACCCCCCCCCCCCCCCCCCCCCCCCCCTTCTTTATAATTCTGAGCATTCAAAATCTTCACTCAGATCTTGAGACCATGTCCGGTCCTTCACCAAGCACTTAGCGCAGTCTGCTATTCCGTTCTCCGGCATCATCACGTCATTCTTTCTTGCAAACCGCGACCCTTAGTGATCTAAGGCTGTGACTAAAGCACACTTTATCTGAGAACCATGATGTCTCTAACATACGTTACGGTTGGGGAGGTGACCCAGATCCATAAATTTTAGATCTGAGTCGCGGAGTATCATGAATCCCAGATTCTACGGGAAGTATTCCAATTGCACCGACATCTTTGAGCCCCATGCTCATTTGCCAGGTACTGACTTAAAAACGGATATTAACTTGTTTTATAATATTTATTGCATTGGAGATATATAACGAGTAATAAGAGGCATCTAAGATCTATTTTCCCAACCCATCCATAAAGTGCACCATGCATCACGTATCGTACAGTCTTTCATTCTCGTCCCCTAATTTTTGGTATCCTTCCTCCCGTTTATTTGAAATCCGGCATTCTTCCCAACCCTCCAACATCACTTCCATTACCCGCCTCACGTCCCTTCCTACTCTCCACATGATCCCTGATCATCTTCAAGATCTTGCTATCCCTCCATCTGCTAGGAGGGGGCCTGTAAGGCTCCTTACTCCTTCCCACAGTCTGTGCCCATTCCGTGGGTACCGTTCCTCCAAACGCAGGTGGTGCGTTCACAGCCGCCTTCTCCTCCTTCACCGTAGGCTTAGCCTCATCCGGACCAGCACCTCTAACTCTGGCATCTGACGCTCCTCCCGGCGGCGAGCTTCCTCCCTCAGCGTATTCGACACTAGTAGGAGGAGCTTGCTGAGTAGCCCAGTAGTAGATATCCCAATCATTCTCGTCCAAGAAGCGATCATATTCCTGCAGCTCCTCCATTTCCATAACCTGAAGCTTCTCATGTGCGAAGGTGCTGAGCAACAAGTCGGTCTCTAGGATACCACGCTTGCGGGACTGGTAGAGAAGACGGGCACGGATGGTGCGGAGGTCTTCTCCAGTGCGACGAAGAGGCTCGACACGGAACTTTCCGTGGACAATTTCTCCGACACCGAGCTCGGGGGCTTGGTCACCGAAGGAGCCATAGAGACCGGGAGAGGTGTTGGCGGTGGGGGTACCATCTGCGGGGGCGGGGGCCTTAGGAGCGGCAGCCTTGGAGGAGTAGAGGGCGACGGAGCGGGCCCGTAGAAGGCGGGGGAGTGTTCGTGGTAGCATTGTGGTTATTGGCTTGGTGTTGAGCTGAGTTTGTCAGGTGGGGAGGTGAAGCGGGCTCGGATGTAGACCGACGGATGGACGTCATGGGTACCGGATCGGCAATCCTCGGGAAGCTTCAACCCCTAACCCTGAACCACGTGAGAACGGTGCCGCCTCCCGGGAATGCACCACCAAGAGACCAGTGGTATCGGCGCATCGATGCTATTTTGAGAAATACAATGATCCGCCGAATGCTTGGAACGCCCCTTGGATTTGCGATTTTCGAGCGCTGTGTCTCGGGTGTGGCGGAAGGAGGGAATGCTGACTGGATTTATCTTTGGGGCGGTGCTGTGAGGGGAAGCTGATGCTGGTACCCTATGTACGAGTACTGCTGCGTTAAATGGTCCGAACGAACAACACCTCTGCGGCCAGCACATCGACAACCGGGACAACTAGTGAAACTACCCAAGTCATCGCAGGCACTCAGCTAAAACCAACGAGTTTCGCTAAACTTCCTCACGACAAACCCGCTACTGTCGCTCATTCAACACATACTCGAAGGAGGCAACGGAACACATCTCACCACCTCAGCGAAGTCATACAAAACAAATGGCATTCAACCAGGCCGCTCTCCAGAACCGGGCGATCCGCTCCATCCAGACTGTAAGTTGTTTATTTACTCATTTTTTTGTTTCACGTCACTAACAGCTTCTCCAGGAGCTCGAGTTCCTTCACGAGACCTCAATCTTGACGACCGACCGTTTCAACCAGATCATGAACCTCCTCCCCAACCCTACGGCCTTGCACACCCTCCGTACCGGAACCCCCGCGCAGGCTCCCGCCCAATCTTCCACTCCTGCCGTTCCCCACCTCGGTTTTACTCCCCCGATGTCTCCCCCCGCCTCCACCAAGACCCCCGCCCACGAAAAAGCAATGCAGCCGATTTCCGGACCTACTCCTCCCGCGCCACCGCCACCAAGCTACACTCCTACTGCGCTAGTCTTGTCTCGTGCAGAGGCACAGTGGGGATTCAACGGTAGCGAGGCTGGAGATTTAAGCTTCCAGCAGGGAGATGTGATCGAGGTTGTGGAGAAGGTTAAGGATGATTGGTGGAGAGGAAGGGTGCTTGGTTCCACCGAGATTGGATTGTTCCCTAGCAGCTATGTGAAGGAGACTCAGGTGTTGGCGAGAGGAGGTCCCCCGCTGCCTGGAAGAAAAGATGGAGGATACGGACAGGGAGGAAATATGATGACGGATGTTGCGCATCATCCCCAGCAGCACCCTCAGGGTGAGGAGCAGAAGAGTGCTTTGGCGAAGAATGGAGAAAAGTTTGGAAAGAAGCTTGGAAATGGTGAGTAATCGATGTGCAAAGAAGCTTGAATAAGCACTAATCCATCCTACAGCGGCGATTTTCGGTGCCGGAGCAACAATCGGAGGAAAGATTGTCAATGGTATCTTTTAAAACGACAGTTACGATCTATCTATCCTTTTTTTTGCGTTTGTTTTAGGCTTGCGAAGTTGTTTATGATGGGACTGGAACCCAACTAGTTGTGTTTACTTGGAAGGCCCCGCAAAGTTTGCAGAATTGATTTTTTACATACCTATCTCTACGTACAAATTTTTCATCTTCCTTTTCCTTCTTTGCAATATATTGGTTTCTGGCCGTGCGCATGTGGCAGCCAATCGTTCACTGCACGTTGAGGGACGTGATATTGGATTTCACGATGCCTTAGCTCGAGCCTCGAGCTAGACCCTGGTTAGCAAGAGCCAATCCTCGAAGGCTGAAGCTCATAACTTTACTCGTCCCGTGATTTAGGCAGGGAGCTAGGCTTTTTGTCTGGATGGCCTCCCTCGCTGATCAGATTTTGATAACTACTTATTTTCTATTTTGAAAGTCTGAAAATCACACAAGGCAGCAGTTCTTTGGTCACTTTATCCGTCATGTAGCAGGAGTGAGGGAACTGCGTGAAGATCAAGCAGATGACCTCAGCAGTGGAACGATAGGTACTTCTACGGTTGAATTACATTTCCGTTTTACCCATCAAATGAAACATCCTTAAGGGACGTCCCGAAGTGGGGACCCGGGAGCTGCGAGCATGGTGGCTCTGTGCACCGCCACTGCCGTTGCGCAAATCTAGGAACACGAATGATGGATTAATCCAGATAGATCACAAATCGATACGTAGTCCTCGTTGATCGTGATGACGAAAAAAAAAACAGAATGCCTACAGCAAGCCAAAACCCAAATTGAAAATGT